ACGAGCGGTTCGTCTCTCTCTCTCTCTCTCTCTCTCTCTCTCTCTCTCCCCCTTTCTTTCTTTCTCGGCCATCGGCCCCTCGCCGGCTGTTCTCTTCAGGAGGACGACCCACTTCGTCCAAAAGCGAGAGGGACGGCGGTCCGTACTGCTTGGCAATTACGCGCATACACCTACAAGAGCGTGTATACGTAAATATGTTCATTATCTCTCCCTACGTCGCGTACCACGTTGACTCTTCTCTCGCTAGTCGGCTAGTCGAACTGATTGCGGGACGAGAGACGAGCGAAAGGAATCCAGGTGTTTTATCGTCGCGCTCGGTGACTCGGGCTCGAGCCGAAAGAAATACAAGATTTTCCCAGCATTTCATTATCTCGCGTTCCTGCACGTCTCGGATATGCAGACGGCGCCTCGTATCGATTTTTCCCCACTAATTATCCATGTCCGGTGGGTAATCGAGAAAAATGTCTAATAGACGAGTTTCACCGACACCGTCGACATCGTCCTTTTCCGATCGGGAGCCTCGTTTTCGCGGAGAGAAGTATCGAGAAGAGTTCCGATAAGTGAATTTTCCACGTGCGACGCGCAAATTCGCAGAGATGACAGAGTTGGTGACCAAATGGTGTTGAGAACGGAGGGAAAGCTCATTTTCACTCCGTTACGTAAAACGACGGTGGTGCACACTATCTTAGAAAACTAGGCACTTTTTTTTTCTCTATCTAAGTGGTCTGTTTGTTCTCGGACTTCGTCGTCAGGCGCGATCAGTATTATTCCATCGTCCACTTCCTCACACGTACAAATAATAATTACAGCGTGATTCAGCCACGGCCGAATACGGGGCGCGGAACTTTCTTCGTTACACGCCGGTATTAATATCCTCGATTCTTACGAACGGCTTGAATTTAACCATTATCTGATCAATCCGAGCCAGACAATACCGTTACCGATGAAGATACCGGTTTCTGCGAATGTCAAAATTCACACTTAAACGTAGGCGCACGTAGACGCGAAATTCCGCCGTCACGGTGTCCTCGGAGAAAACTCGCCACGGCTGTTAGGAAAATTTGTTAACGTTACGGAAAAAATGCGTGAAAAACGCATAGTTTCTCCCCCACAACGGCAACGCGCGATTCTCGGTCGTATCCAATCGCATCCGGCGCGGCCATGCCGGGGATCCATCTCGTGGAATCCTGGCGGGAGATGACACGTGGTTGTTGCAGTGGCGGTCGGCACGAGGCCGGGCTCCCTACTACCTCTTTCTCGGCTTCCTCGTCCACGCTGGACGCAATGAGGCGATCCTCAAAGCGCGACCGGTAGTCGAACCGCGTGCACGCCGAGTACGGGAAACGCAAAGTGCGCGGGGACCACGAACGCGTCTCTTCCGCGTCTCTTCCGCGAGTCGTTGCCGCGATCGCGATAGAAGATAGAAGATAGAACGTTTCGACGAAGGAGAAAAGGGAAAAGAAGGACGGAGGAGAGGAGGAGACACGAGGTCAAGTGCCGAGCACGAAGAGACGATTCGACGACCGCGAATGAAGATATCTCGATCGGTCGCCGTTGCCTCCTAGGGATCGAACGGGACGATTTCTTGGACATCGACGTGCGGCGATCATCGCGGTTCGGCTTCTCTCCTCTCAAACGTTCGGAACCTTCATTTCGATCCATGTGTTTAACGGTTGCGGTCGGATCGCGCGTCTGATCGAAATCGTGCGATGAGCACCGTGCCCACTCGCGCGTTCAATTCCCAGATTGTCGGATCCGAATGTGTGAATGCGGTTTCGTAAGAACGATCCACGGGAGAGATGATGGACCAGGTATGACGTTCGACTGAATCGCTTACGGTACAGACGGTGGTGCACTGTCAGGAAACGACTAGCTTCGAAATTGGTGAGTCGGGTTTTTTTTCGGATCGGATTATTCGGTATCTGATTGCGTATAAAAAAAGTTGAGATACTTCGCGCCTCGTCAATTTTATCGACGACTCGGAGGCGACAGATGTTGGAGCGGATTAAAGTTCAAACAAGCGGTATTCGGATTCGTCACGTATATATCTCTGATACGTACAAAATAATCCATTTGTATTAAGCAGTGATGAGGCAATGAGATAAACGGAAGCATGGGAATTATTAGAAAATGTTGTAGAATTAACGGAGATTATCTCGTTCCCCCTGACGTACGGAAGCGCCTGACACATCGCTCGTTTGTGATGTAAAGTCAAAGTTTTACTTATATAAAATAACTGCGCGATCACGTGCGCAATGAGTCACGCAATGATCCGATGATCCGATGAAACGTATAAAACATTAGAAAGTTTTAATTTCGCGGTATCGATAGAAAGTCTCACTTCGCGCCTGGCGCGAAAGCAATTTTAAGCGTTAATACACTTGCATCCTCGCGGATGAAATTAGTCTCCGGAATGGATGATCGATCGTAACGATCGATACACGACTGCTAATACAAGAATTATCGCCGCTTCCAGAAGTAGGCGAGCGAGCTAGATCGAAAACAATATAATCAATAGCCGGAGGTTAATGTTATTAGAAAGTCTCGATATCATGCGATCGAGTAGTTTTGAATATAAACGTCCCTAGATTCAGGTGCCAGGTGCAAATACCTCATTACGCCTATTTCCTCCTCTCTACACAGAAACTCATTAATTGAATGAAATTTTTTTATAAACAACGAGTCGAGCCTCAAAATCGGTTCTTTTGTTGAAAAGTAATCTTTAAGCTCTATAATTTTCTCAAGATTGCTTAACATAAATAAAAGTAAATCACTTTTATTAAGTGGCAAAACTCAATAATTCTTCTTGTTAATTTTTTAAAATATATAAAGAAAGATTAAATATGATAGTAATAATTTATCATCATCATAATTTATCTTTCTTTATTATTACAATAAGTAGTGAGACAGTTTTCACAAATTTATATCTTTTTACGAATTTTTTTTCATACCCGGACTTGGTATTGTACTTTTTGTAAGTGTCATCCTGTATGTCACAGAAGTCAACAAAGGACGAGTTACGACATATTTTTGGACTTTGTAATATCTCTGAAAGACGAGATTTTCAGATATCTGTCTGGAATAAATAGGGGAAAGTACAGAAGAGATAAAGGGAAAAATGCGAATTGGCTCCGTCCTCCTTGCCGATTCGCGATTCCTAATAAAATGATTATTATCAATTGGCGAAAAGTGTGCCACTCTAAAGGAAGGCGAAAGAAACGTAATCCACTTAGAGGAAGCCGTAATGAATAGCGAACGTATGAGAGTGCACGGACGATTTTCGCAGCTTGCATTAGTCAATCTGGCGAACACTCGTCGGCGATTAGTCCGCTGTGTTCCGTGGCGGAATCCCCCGTGTGAATTGGGTCAAGCTGACTCCTTCTTAAAATAACCGTAACCACTTGCCGTGATCGAACGCGCCACTTTCACTGATTAGTCGCGCGCCTCCTAAATATGCGCTTCACCTTATTATTATGCCGACTCAGATTCAATATGTCGTAGGTGTTCTGGTTCTCTCATCCTCCGATTGAAATCTGTTTTCCGACGAGTGCGAACAGAGAATGCTACTTATTTTAGGAAAGAGAGTTTTACTTATTTTAAAATAAGAAGTTTTATTGTTATTTCCGTGCTATATTGTTATTTTTCAAAATAACAAAAAAAGAAGTCATTTTCATTATCATGCCAATGTAAATAAAATCACAAAATCATTTAAAATCAATTAACTGACGATTACTATAATCACCTATAATTTATTAATACGTGATCATTTATTTGTACAATATTAATTTATGAATATTTGTTGACTTTCTTGAAAAAAATAGAACCAATTTTTGTACAAAAATTTTCTGTCCCATTTACTTATGAATTTTTACATATCTTTTAGTGAAACTCACAAAAAATATATTTTATACAATTACTCACAAATTTTCATGCTTTAAGATCATTTTAAATCTCAACAGGAGACTTTACGA